GCAAAAAAAAAAAAAAAGCAGAAGTTGCAATCCTAATCTCTGATAAAATAGACTTTAAACCAACAAAGATCAAAAGAGACAAAGAAGGACATTACATAATGGTAAAAGGATCAATGCAGCAAGAAGAGCTAACAATCCTAAATGTGTACATGCCCAATGCAGGCACACCCAGATACATAAAGCAAGTTCTCAATGACCTATAAAGAGAATTAGACTCCCACACAATAATAATGGGAGACTTTAACACTCCACTGTCAATCAATATTAGACAGATCAACAAGTCAGAAAATTAACAAGGATATGCAGGACTAGAACTCAGACTTGGAGCAAGAAAACCTAATAGACATTTACAGAACTCTCCACCCCAAATCAACAGAATAAACATTCTTCTCAGCACCACATCACACTTACTTTAAAATTGACCACATAATTGGAAGTAAATCACTCCTCAGCAAATGCAAAAGAATGGAAATCATAACAAACAGTCTCTCAGACCACTGAGCAATCAAATTAGAACTCAGGATTCAGAAACTAACTCAAAAACTGCACAACTTCATGGAAACTGAACAACTGGCTCTTGAATGTTGAGTGGATAAACAATGAAATGAAAGCAGAAATAAAGATGTTCTCAAAACCAATGAAAATGAAGACACAACATACCAGAATCCCTGGGACACATTTAAAGCAGTGTCTAGAGGAAAATTTATAGCAATAAATGCCCACATGAGAAGCAAGGAAAGATCTAAAACTCACACCCTACCATCAAAATTGAAAGAGCTAGAGGAGCAAGATCAAACAAATTCAAAAGCTAGCAGAAGACAAGAAATAGCTAAGATCAGAGCAGAACTGAAGGAGATAGAGACACAAAAAACCCATCAAAAAATCAGTAAATTCAGGAGCTGGTTTTTTGAAAAGATCAACAAAATAGACCACTAGTCAGATTAATAAAAAAGAAAAGAGAGATTAATCATATAGATGCAATAAAAAACAATAAAGGGGATATCACCACCGATTCCACAGAAATACAAACCACCATCAGAGATTACTACAAACAACTCTATGCACATAAACCAGTAAACCTTGAAGAAATTGATAAATTCCTGGACACTTACACCCTCCAAAGCCTAAACCAGGAAGAATTCGAAACTCTGAATAGACCAATTACAAGGGCTGAAGTTGAGGCAGCAATTAATAGCTTACCAACCAAAAAAAGCCCAGGTCAGATGGGTTCACAGCCAAATTCTACCAGACATGCAAACAGGAGTTGGGACCACTCCTTCTGAAATTATTCCAAACAATCCAAAAACAAGGAATCCTCCCCAAATCATTTTATGAGACCAACATTCTGATACCAAAACCCGGCAGAGACTCAAGAAAAAAACTTCAGGCCAATATCCATGATGAACATAGATGCAAAAATCTTCAATAAAATACTGGCAAACCTATTGTAACAGCACGTCAAAAAGCTTATCCGTCACGATCAAGTAGGCTTCATCTTGGGGATGCAAGGCTAGTTCAACATGCGCAAGTCTATAAACGTAATTCACCACACAAACAGAACCAAAGACAAAAACCACATGATTATCTCAATAGATGCAGAGAAGGCCTTCGACAAAATTCAACAGCCCTTTATGCTAAAAACTCTCAATAAACTATGTATCTATGGAACGTATCTCAAAATAATAAAAGCTATTTACAACAACCCCACAGCCAATATCAAAATGAATGAGCAAAAACTGGAAACATTCCCTTTGAAATCTGGCACTAGGATGCCGTCTCTTATCACTCCTATTCAATATAGTATTGGAAGTTCTAGCCAGAGCCATCAGGCAAGAAAAAGAAATAAAGGGCATTCAATTAGTAAAGGAGGGAGTCAAATTGTCTCTATTTGCAGATGATATGGTTGTATATTTAGA